CCAGGTAAACGAGCAACTGGAAAAAATACTCCAGTTGCAGGAACATTCAGCGCCCGGCCCGGTTAGCGCAAACCAACAGGTAAGGCTTGGTTTTAGTTCTCCCGCCATTTCGCCCAACATAGGGCGAATCCCCGATGCTTACAACGAGGTATTCATTTTCATCGTAGTATCATAGCGACCGAATTGGGACAAAGACTAATTACCCTGCAACCATGATGTGTATATGTCTAGAATCTAGAAATGGATTAGTAAACAATCGAAGCGCTTATGTTAATACCACTTCATTACCCATAAGACACGATGCAATAAATACATCAGCGAACGTTAAATTAACAAATGAATTGCACATGCCAAGCTAGATGTGTGTATATGAGAAATATATTTGCAGTTTATGTGAAACAATTCATTTAATTGAACATCTGCCAGTTTTTAATACGAAGTTTTGAATAGAAGCTAATGTTTGGATTTGCTCTTCTTTACTCAAATGCGAATTTCTGCATAACACTGTGTGTAAAAAATAACCTTGTTGGTAAAAATACATTTCATTTCGAAGAACTTAGTAGTTTGTACACACAAAAGTGTAAAGCATGCTCGGTATGATATCCACAGGAACAGGTTTTAGTATGCAATATGTCTATCATACTGATCTGCGTTAAGATCGCTGCAGCCAAGCCTGATGCGAATCTGAATAATTGGACATGCTAATTGCCATTGTTAATCCAGAAGTATTTTACATGGACGGTCTGCCATCCTGAACGAGCTGTGCAACTTTGACATTGTTTAATTCCATAAATAACCACTCACAGTGGCACATGGACATAAATACAAGAAATAGATAACGGAGGCATTCTCCAAATTGCATCCATCGAATATGTTAGCGATCGTACATCTACATCAGTATGTCCTTACCGAGAGTTGTGCCTCGGGGTGCATGGCAGTATAGAATGGCAGTCGTTAGTTAGTTACTTGAATGGCAGTCCGGGGGTCCTGTCGCTATATACTTGTCCGACATGAAATGACAGGTTTTAGGGTTTGTGACTTAGTTAGTGTGGGTGATTTTAAGAGTGTTAGTTGAATGGGTGATATTTACTGCTGACGCTATAGATGTAAACATTCATATAATGATGGCAGCAAAGGACAGCCGAAGAGACAATGGCGTTACCACCACGAGACATGTGTATGCCTTTTACGAGACGGCTAAGGGTATAATTCACTATGTCTATAAATGTTATGTAATCAGTCCTGTAGCGAATCCCTTTCTGAGCAACAGACCGTGTCATTGCATGATTTATTGTGGGCACAATGGAATGGGACTGTAGGCACGTGTAGCTCTTAATCCCATATGAAAACACCAACTTTAGATTCGCGTGGTATCTCTGGTACCACATTCTTTTCTGTAACGCAGATGGCCTAGGTTATGATGATAGTTCGGATAACATTCGTAGAAAATATAGACTGAATGACACGACAGAGTGAGAGCCGTTTAACGCCGCTTTAAACAGCATGCCGGTTAGCGAGGCCGACGGTGACGCGGCTTGGCCAGCCAATCACATCGCAGGATACGGGGATTCCCTTTCCTTCCGTGCGGACGGAAAAGACGCGCACGTCAAACAAACGGTGAGGGAAAAAATCTGGCGTGGCGAGTATGTCGACCTCGGCACAATCCTACCAGACACCGAGGGAAGTCACGAGGACGGTACGATTACCATGGCGTACGACTCCTCAGGTTAGGTAATTTTTAAACCAATAAAGCAGCAACCAAAGCGCCTGTCCCTGGCAAGCTGGACTTCAGCTTTCCACATTTTCATGTGTATATATGTTAGTAGGCACTCCGAGGTCCGCACAACCCAGGGGTTGCTGTCCTACATGGAAACCATAAGAACGGCGGCACTTCGATTCGGGGGGATGCCCGGTCAACCTACGACCAACAATTCCGACACAGAATGTCAAGGGACCCCTCACGACGCTGGGACAACATCGACGGGGAGTTGTGGCTGAAGTACATGGTAACACAGCCGGTACTACAACCACAATCAGGCGGACGGGGCGCAATGACACGCGTACAGGGGGACATCGCCAGTCAGGTATGCTGGGATTTCAATAAATTTGGCTGTAGCAGGGTCAACTGTAAGTACACTCACAAATGCGGTAAGTGTGGCAAACATTCCCATAGCTCTAGGACCTGCAGATCAGAATCCCAGAGTCCAAGATCAAGGAGGCAACAAGGGAAATCCAAGACACCCTGTCAACAGGCAACATCAAGGTCACAAAAAGGGCCCTTAAGTCCCTCATAGGCAAGCTTAACTTTATGTGCAGGGCTATACCAAAGGCAAGGGCATTCAGCCGCAGGCTAACCGATCTGCTTAGCAAAGGTAAGCAACCATTTCACCACATTAGGATTACCAGCTGGGTCAAGGAAGACCTACAAATGTGGTTAACATTTCTTACGAGTTATAAAGGCATTTCAGTGTTTCAGGACCAACTATGGGTGGACAGCGATTTCCTCCAGCTGTTTTCAGACGCAGCGGGTGGCGCCAGCTTCGGGGCCTACATGCAGGGCAAATGGTTTAACGGCGCATGGCCACCCCAGTGGGTGACGGATGGAACTACACGGGACTTGACGCTACCTTGACATGGTGACATCAACCCTTCGGATACAACCCCAGCTTCCTGACACCAAGATCATCGTATCCTCAATGCTGCACAGGCGCTACTGGCACGATGCCAGGGACCCACTAAAGATCGAGGGGATGCGGAAGAATACCAACCGTCGACTGGCCAACCGAGTCAAAGAGCTCGGCGGTACAATGGTGCCACATCCCCAGATCCTGGCATCAGACAAGACATGGTACGCCTGGGAGGGCGTCCACCTCAGTCACAAAGGACTGTGTGTGTTTACAGACAATTTATTACATGCCTTGGCGCTTGTTATCTCCACAGGTTTGTGGTTCCTTTCAGTACAAAGGCAAGCCGGGCAACAATGCTATCTCCGCGTATCGCGTGGCCGTGGGTGTGGGGTAGCACTCTGGTGCTTTGTGGCGGGGTTCTTGTGGGCTACACTGCTAGTAACAAATTAACTTGCTTCCAAATTAATACTCGTGCTTAAGGCTACCTGCTTTTCAGCGGGAACCTTTCCGGGGTTACCTGCTTCTCAGTGGGAACCTTGTCTTTCCCGACTTTTCAGCCGGGGAATCGTAAAATAACATACGTTGGGGCAAACAATTGCCACGTATATGGGCCCGGCGGCGGAAGTCGTCTTGTCAAGCGGTAGCTGACAGTTGGGTCCGCGGCGTGGGAGCCGCACAATGGTTTTGCTAATGGGGCCGGGCAGTGGGATCTGCTTTGGCCGGCTACCTGGGGCCGGGCAGCGGTAGTCTGACTTAGGCCAGCAGCGTGGAGCTGCTTTTGGCAGCGTGGGAGTTGCCAAGCAATGGTAGCGGTTAAATATGCTACCGTGGGGGCCGGACAGCGGAAGCAGTCTCAGGCCAGCAGCGCTAGCTGCAATCGCCGTTGGCCACGCGCGTGGCCATGGCAACGGTAGCATTTTGGTATACACAATTAGCAGCTAAGTAGCCCACTAGTACCTGCACACCCTCGGCCATTTAACCCAATCTCATCTTCTGTTTTTATTTTAGGCACGGGCATCCACGGCTCGGTGGCCCGTGCCTCTCCTTGGCATATCGCGGGATAATTAAATAATTATATCTACAGTTACAGGTTACAAAATGCACAGATGCGGTTGCTACAATATTCAAAGGATGTGTGGCAATACATTTCGTGCAGAAAACACAATAGAAATCTACAAAGGGAGTGTATTTACGTTTTTGAGACACCAGAGAGCTTGGAATTTCTATATACGACTGTGACGTCATATCTTTTGCGTCACAATGAGCAATATGACGTCATAATGGTGACATTCGATGTAGAACGAAAGCCTTGCAAAGCTTGCTTAGTTTTCTTTAGGGATGCCTACCTCATGTTAACCTACCAAGTTGCCGAGCTTAAATGCTTTCAATGCCTGTCGTATGTTCGAGTGAAGTATTACGGTGTAAACAAACTGCTTGAGTATATACAGCGCCATATTTTGTTCACAAGCTGTTGTTGGTGATTCCGTAATTCAGATCGATAACCCATTCAAAACACTGGACTCAACCCATACCCATGCCGCTTCACTCAATACATTTATTTACACCAAAGAGTTCGCGTTTTATTTAGTCATGGTAGAATGGAGATAAACATACTGTGTTTTCAATGTAGAGCTAGATTCGGTTCCCAATTCAATTCAGCGCGGTTAAATCTACAGGTAACCTAGCTCTACATTTTAAACACAATATATTGTCACTATGGCATTAAACAACACACACACACACACACACACACACACACACACACACACACACACACACACACACCTGACATCGATTTATTAGTTAGAAGGTCAAATAAAGTCTATAATTACATTTCCTTCAGGTAAAACCTTTCTCCTCTAAACGGTAAAGTGTACACATACGGTTTACAAAGTACAAATGCGGGTGTTGTTTTTGTAGTCTACGAAACATGCATAACCTCCTAACAGACTTCCATGTTCAGAAAAAAAAACAATTATGTAGATATTCATATCCAGCAGTCAATCTGTAGTGGCAAAGCTTGTCTCGGACATAAATGCAAATAAATAGAAACTATAAATACGTGCTTTCATAATTTTATTTGTACCAGTTCAAATGTATTTGGATACATTGTAGAACATGGAAGCAATTATAGAAGATTTGCCTGACGATTTTATCTTTCGTTTCAACAGAGATGAGCCCATAAAGTTTGTCATTACTGGGTAAGCAACGTGTAGCTGCACTGATAAAGGTACCCCATAACTAGAAGAGTGTTAATCTGGTGTGTTGAGTACCTGCACACTGTTTTACCTGTACACTGGCTTACATCTAAATATAGCATGTCACACACACAACAACGATGTGCCTAACATGGAAAGACGTATCTCGGTCATGATTCACACTTTAGAGTCGTCTACCGCCTAGCACAACACGGAGGTCTATGTGGCACGGACATACATCAGATAGTTTCTGGTATGTATGAAAATAAGCTATTTTGTTGGGTATTCCCCAGCTTGAATCTTCACAATCATGTTCGCTTATATATAAATCATAGAACGTATGACTGTCCACAATATGGTTCATTGTAGACGTCGATACGTAACTTGCTTGTAGCTTTCATAGGAGAGGCACAATAACGGTTAAATGACTTTACACATTTGTCTCACATACCTTTTTTTTGAAAATGCATTACTGGTTTCAATTATTTATTAAGAAAAATGTCATTTATTGCAAAGTAATGTTGAATAGCATGTGCATATTTTATCTGTAGTATAAAAATATCCAAATATCATATCATTGTTTAGGTCAGAATTTGAATGTTATGATATTTCATTTACGATTTTAGTGATTCATTATTATAATTTTCATATCTTTTATGAGTGTTATGACCAATAGAATCTGTTTCGTTGGATAATCGATCTGTGGTATTGACGTTTTGTATTAAATTTAAGTGAAAATGTAACGTCATTATTTCAGCCATGTCGATACCTGTACACATATAGTCTACAAGTAATATATATAATATAAAATTTATTAATCCACATGACCTCATATATATTCGAGGTCAAATTGATCCCAATATGAAACAAAACACAGTTCCGTGTTGCATGTTTAGCTGCACATAACCACGCAGCTACAAAAACATTGATTCCTGATCCATGAACTGACATGTGCGATAACACTACGTTATGTTGTTATCATTGGCTCTTGAATAAGTGTTAACAAAGGTTACTCGTCAGTAATGTATAATGCTACCTTTCAAGTACAGCGGTACAGGGCGAGGACAAAGTTGAGATATCCATAAGCAACTGTAAAAGCTATACTCGATGCTCTATATTTTACATATAGTCGGATAATGCATAAGCATTCATAAACCTCTTCTCATATCACATATCACTTAAGTTACTTGCCAATAATGCAGTGAGAGAAAACATATGCCCTTGTGGCATGTGCACGTACTAATTAATACCTGTTAGTATCGATGTTACATGTAATTGATTGTACATCGTAGCGCAAGGCGAGGTAAATTATCATTCAGCTTTTCCAATACAGAGGTCATTGTGACCCCACCAGACACCCGATAAAAGCACGTGTCAGGTAGGAGTGGACTATGAACGATCTGTTTATCATGAATTACGTCAGTAGTGTACACGTGCAGATAAGATTCCCGACAAAGGGAAACACAAAGGATGTACATGCGTATATGTAGATCTATGCACTTCGATTTCAACATACATCCATAACATGGCAGCGACGATGCGCATAGCTCTCTTCCGGTAAGGTGAGGCGCCTTCAATAAACAGCTATCAGCATCTATGTCTGTTTTACTTGTGTCAAAAATGAACAGTCAACAAAGCAAACAAAGTAGTTTTTAGAAATAGTTTAATCTTTCGAAGGTTTGAGAAGAAATAATAATAATACAGTAAACGTTGAATCGTACTGGTACATAAGCATTAATAAATGTTATAAGTCATCAGTTAGATTTTCTAATGATAGATTTTAGCAAGAAAAAGCACCATTGGTCATCTCCCTTTTATTACGGCTCAATTGGCGTTGGCGTTGGCTTTTTATATTACATTTTGGTGAATGTCTAGCGTTAATATTTCAGTGGTGAAACTATTTTCCTCAATATGGAAAAAAATATTTCCAAGTTGCATAATATAATATGCAGCCGCACTTGGTTTATAGTTGCCTTTTGAACAACATACATGTAGGTATGCAGCTACAAAAAAACCCATTTATTCCTGACCCATGAACGGACATGTGCGATAACGCTACATTATGTTGTTAACATTGGCTCGTGAATCTTAGGGGTAATCAAATTTAACGCTACCCATCAGGAGTAGAAATTACTGAACGACAAAATTGGTATACCCACAGTCAAATGTAAAAGTCATAAACATCTTCTCATATCACTTAAGTAACTTGCCCATAATGCAGCAAGAGAAAATGTGCTTGTAAGTTTTAATACAATCAGTGTCGTAGTTACATGTAATGTTTTGTACAATGTCACTGTAGCTCATGGTGAGATAACTTGTCATTCAGCTTTGTCTTCTAGGACGTACATGTTTACTCAATGAAGATTTATATTTAGCCCTTGGAGACCAGCCACTACCTTCTTTTCACTGGACCAAAGGTTATGTAAGCCAATGTCACAAGATACAGATTAGTCTCCGACATATAAAAAATAGTTAATGAAAATTAATACATGCAAGGCTCGTTTAAAGGAGACGAAGAAGCTTTATTGATATATGAGCGATTCTAGACATTTACATATCGTGACTACACAGTAATTACAATCAATTTGTATGTAATAATTATGTCAAAAGTAATAATCAGTTGTAAAATAACATTCAACAATGCCAAACAAATATCCTATTCTTTAAATAGAAATAGTTGAAACCTTTTATACTCTGGGGAGAAATAGTAATACATAATACCGAAACGTAAGATGTTGACTCGTACTGCAACATAGCAAAAAATAAATGTTAATTTTAATAAATAACATTACATGTAGATTACTTCAGGACGATAACTTGTCATGAATTGTTTTTATCTGAAAATACCAACTTCTCAATCCGTTTTTCCACATAAGCCGGCTAGTTGAAGCAAATAAGCATAAGTGAAAATTAAGAAGGCCTTACTCAACTTTAGGTACAATCCAGTTTGTATTAAATTAGACTTTTATCATATATCTGTACACAGCATTGTGATGATGCGGCATGTTCCCATCTTGGAACTGGGTATCACAAACGTAACTGTTACCTTGAACACAAATGCATGCCTACGACCATCGATGCTTTGACATTCTTCAGTCAATTGCCTATGCCCAACTGATTGATATCTCGAACATGGCGAGACGTCCTTAAGCGTGGGGCGCATGAACGGTGACGACCTGTGAGGTTGTGCCGAACATGAAAGCAACCAATAGTTCACTGGCTAACGTTATTACGTTGTGAACTCTGGCATTCAACATGCCGACAGCATGTTTAATCTCCCCTTACATGTGTCTGTGCCACTTCGTTTTATTGATAAGTAACCAACAATGTCACATTAGTATTTTTTTAAATCCGGATGCATTCATCAACCATGCAATGTTTAAGAAAGGTCTGTAATGTAGTGTTTGTAATATAATGTGTCCAAGTTCGGAAAATGACTGGATGTCAACACGTTTTCACAATGACAACAGTGATTGGGCATATATATTTCAGGAATTAGAAATTGACATGGTACTGTCATGGAAAATCGCTCTGAAATTACTTTATCAATATCATTTACAATTGACAGATAAGTGGACTTTTAGGCAATCCCATAAGTGTTGATTTAAAATAAATACTGTTCTAGTTGTATGGTGACTCAGCGGTTATATCGTGACCCAAACGTGCAAACCATGGTGGTATAATTAGGGAGTCATTATCAGATGAAGAAATGTTGCTTAACGAAATGTTATTTACAGTTAAATCACTGTCCTGTCTTACAAGTGGGCTGTAATATGCCTTAGTCCGTGGTCGTTGACCTGCAGAAGGATCCATTTCTTCCTCATAGATTTCATTGTAGCTGTTCCTACGGTACTGAAGTGGAACAGTGTCTGCCGATCGCCCTTGATTTTCTCGCGCTCTTGTCGACAGTTTGCATACTCTAAAGGAAATAATGACATATGATAGATTGTCACAGTTGTCATTGGATGTATGGATGTTGATGATGTAGGGCGTTTCGGTTTGTTTCTTTAGCAGTAACAATGTTTAAATAGAGGCTTAGGGGAAGTGGAATATACCAGCATTAATTTAAGTAGGAAAGTTAGTTTACTTTGTTATAAAGTTTCAAATAAGACGGGATGTTATACACATCTACAAAATATGTGTGTCTTATAAACTAAATATAAACACAATATTTATACTCAGCAGAGTAAGAATCTATACATGTTATGAACGTTCATACAACATGATCTGTATCATCTGTTTTTAAGATAGTGGAAATCATGTTTCACACTCGCAATTCACACTCATACGGGTGTAAAGGGCGATATTAAAAATCCGAGACATGTTCCTGTTTGTGAGGAAATCACACTTGAAACTAATTTTTTCCAAAACATTTAACGATAACACAGATTAACCTTTTTATATGAATTTGAGGTTTATGTATATTCATGCTCAAATGTAATAATAGCATTTATCGATTATTTAATGAGGGAGTTTAGTAAGAAAATGTAACTCTGGCTATCTTCCTTCGATTATCATGCAACTATTCCCAAATGTGGTAAATTTCCATCTTTTCAGGCGAGGGCGGTCGGGTAGCCTCGTGGTTAAAAGCCAATTTTTGGGGTCCCCCGCCGTGATATTGCTGGAATATTGCTAAAAGCGGCATACAATCATACTCACTCACTCACTTTTCAGGCGAAACAAAAGAACGTTTAAAGGAATAACGCCGTGTTTTAACACCTCGTCCTATTGTCCACATATCATTCAATAACACATTTAGGTGTCATGTTGTGTAATACTGAAAGCTTAACAAAAGGATATAACTCTCAACTTATTTGGAGTTTGTAAACAAACGATGACCGGTCGCATACGTCAAATACTTGACGCAGAGGACAGTGCACTGTGTACAGTTGAAGTCATTCGTATTTAAATTTTACAAAAACTTTGATCAACTCTTCTAGTAAAAAAACACACGCCTGTTTCTGCTGCTGTTTGCTGAAACTATTTACAAAGATCTTGGAAGAGCCAAACTCGATATGTAATTTTATTATTGATGGTATTACTCTGTTATGATAATATCCAATACCGTGAGGTAAGTTGACTAGCAATATACAACACACGGGACAGTGAAGTTAACATCCTTCTTAAGTAACATTTGTATGAGTTAAGTTATGAGGAAAACATTGACCCTGACATGACTGATCAATGTGTCCCAAATCTTCACATGGCTACAGAAATTATATACATAATATGCTGTCCGTGATATGTCCAATT